AGTCCGCCGTATAAGATGCCGTTCATCCCTCCACTCCCTAAGAAAAGAGTAACTGAATCTAGTCCGTACACGTACACCGGAATAGACTACTTTGGTCCGCTTTATGTAAAAACTGTGAATAGATCTGAAAAAGTGTGGGTCTGTTTATACACCTGCTTAGTTGTGCATGCAATTCATCTGGAACTAATGCTTGATATGACTACCGATCAATTTTTACTTGGATTCCGAAGATTTATGCCCGTTGTGGAACTCCAATACAAATTATTTCAAATAATACTCTACAGTTTAAAGCCGCAAGTAATGTAGTACAACAGGAATGGAAAAAGGTTCTTAACGATTCGGATATTCAAAACTATGTGTCTAACAAGGGCATAAGTTGGAAATTCATAGTATAACTAGCCCCTTGGATGGGTGGTTTTTACGCGAGACTAGTGGGACTTGCAAAGCGTTCATTGCGAAAAACCATAGGAAAGGTTTGTTTTAGCGTTGAACAATTACGAACACTTTTAACAGAAGTTGAAGCCGTGGTAAATAGTAGACCGTTAGCATACATTGGTGAGGATATTGACTCTAATATTGTGTTAACACCGTCTTGTTTCCTCAGTCTAAATAAACACAACGGAATTCCAGAGCGAATCGATAATGACGAAGATCCAGAATATAAACCACAGTTTAGTTCAACTGATGATCTTTTGGAAATTTGGAAAAAAGGTCAAAAACATTTAAACAGATTCTGGAAAGTGTGGCGTGATGATTATCTGCTCAGCATTCGTGAAAGAACAACCGTTAAACTTAAAGAGAAAAGAGTGCGCTCAAATCAGTATCCACAGATTGGTGACATTGTTTTGATCAAGGACGATCTTCCGAGAGGAATGTGGAAAATTTGTCAAATTATAAACTTATCCAAAAGTAGTGACGAACAATGTAGATCAGCAAATAAAGGTATTATTGCCATCGAAGAACACTTAAAACAGAACTTTGAACTTCTTATATCCTTTGGAACGTCACGATGACAATGTTGAACAAACTGACAATGTTAATAATGTTGAACAGAACTCAAAGTGTGAGACGCAAACTTCATCTACTAGACATCAGAGACGTGCTGCGGAACAAGCAAAACAGAAAATCCATGAGTGGACGTCTTGATAGTGAACTTTGACTTTAATTTGTGTAATATACTTTCTGTTCCTTGGAAGTGTCACAAAGAACGCGAGTTTATTTTATTAACTGACATTCTGTGAACAATATTTTTCTGTATCGACTATTAATTCAATTTCAATCTTTTTTATAATTCAATTCAGTTTAACTTTACATTTATCATCGGAAAATTGTGATACCTATTTTAGCAAGTTTTTTGATAGACAGAAATTATCTCCCTTGAAAACGTGGGCCAAACAAAAACAAATAGAACTTTAAATTAGTATCAATGTGGACTGTATTATTGTAACATCTATATTATTAATAGAACATAGATTAGAAACGAATGGTTTATTCTTTCGCCACAATCATGAAGAATAAAGATAAAGATATATCATGTACTTTGATCATGATTTGTAAAACACAGGATGACAAGTAAATTTAAGACACAATTCCAAATTTTCAGAATATGTCAAGCCAAACTGAAAAATAGAATGTCGAGAATCTGTCGGGAAATTGCAAGTCAGTTTTCAAATGTCAAAATTTGTCAAGAAGTTTTAAGACCATATTTAGGATGTCGATAATTTGTTGATTAAATTTTATACACATTTGATATAAATCCGGATTTATTAAGACACATTAAGACAAAAGTCATACTTTTAAAGAATGTCGAGTAATTGTTCATGCAAATTGAGACAGAAATTGGTCTTTTCAGACTTTTGGGTTTTTGTAGTGCTGGCTTCGAAGTTATGCTCCCTTATTAAAATTAAAATTTTTGTTGAACAATGACTGTCTTGGGGATTGGTTAATATTTCCCAACTGGAAAGAAGGGGGCGAATTATTTTGATGATTGGACAATTATTTGTTTGTTTTTTGTTATTTTGTTTGGGGTGGGGTTTCTGTCATATCAGAAAACATTTAGAGGTAGTTTCAGAATTTTTTAAAAAGGTTGCACACTCTTTCATAATTTAAAAAAAAAAATTGTTCAGGCCTAATCAAATTTTACCTTAAATTCCGTAAAATTTGAGAGAATTAATAAACAGATAAGGGTTGAGTGGACACATTTTTAAAAACTATTTTGATAATTAAGATTTATGATAAGCAAAAAAAATGAGCAGTTCAATATGAATCTTTTTCATGATCCATCATTTTCGAAAATAAAAAGCATTTTAAGGATTCAATAAAACGTATTTGACAAGATTAAGTTGTGTTTCTTTTTACGTCAATTTTCAAAGTAACTGAAAACCAGTTCAACAGAAAATCAGAAATATTGTATATAGTCAAGGACGATTATAGATGTCAAGAAAAAGGACGCATACATAATGCATGTTGTAAACATATAATAGGTAGAATATAGTGTTTTAAATTACCCTCACGGTCACACATGGCTTGTACATTATTGCTGGGGAACCCATTTCTGTTAATAAATGCAGGTTCATCAATACTAGGCCCAGTAATCCGTAGGTGGGTCCCATCAATGCATCCACCAACGTTTGGAAAACCAGCTTTTTCGTAAAATCAAGCCCTTATTACGTTCTTCCTCTGGTAATCAAGCCACTATATGAACTGATCCTTTCTGGCACATAATGACTCCGTGATACGGTCCATCAACCAAGACTCAGTTGATTTATCAAATTTAATTGTGTCATCAACAACATGCAGTTGAGATCCACTGCCATAAATCCGCAAGGCAATCATAATCTGTTGCTTCACTGAAAGGGCTGTCTCTTTGTTTGCCCCACGCGTCAGATCCCCTCTCATTGAATCCGACAAGTACTCAATGGTCAAATTTATACCTCTGTCTTAACTCCTCATAAGAAATTTCCCATTAAAGAGGGTCAAAACCGCGAAAATGACGCTCTCGTCTTATCACAGGTGCTTGAAACAAAGCATTGACAGCTATCTTATATTTAGGTTAATTAACTGATTAAAATTTAGTCAACCTTAATGAACTCGATTAAATATAACGACACTTTGACAATTTTAAACGACTCGTTAAATTTAATGTTCAATGTTTTGAACATAAATTTGATAGCTACATTTGGCGTTTGAATTCGAATTTCAATTGTTCCTGTCGGAATATTACGGTATGGTTTATCCTTATGTTTGAAGGCCGTACTTAATTAGCCCTTACATGTATTGGCTTCAGGTTGGAATTAAATATTACCTCTTTTTTTAACAGTTAGAATAATCGGGATAGAACAAATTTATCCTATAACAATTCTAAATAAGAACTACAAATCTAAAAAATCGTAATAGTAACAAATATAAAAAAAAATAAGTATTAATCATGAAAATTAACAATGGTATCTCAAAATAATTGTTTGAAATACTTTAAAGTCAGTAAAATATAAAATCATTACATCCAAATGTGCAACAATATTAATCATAGCAGGCTTTGGTTTAAACAAAAGTTGCTGTTTTTTTATTTGACAATACGTATGCTGATATATATCACTAAATAAAATTGGAGAAAAACAACTACTTCACGTTTTTTTGATAATATCAACATTATTATCCTTCAACAAAGTCAAATATAATGACGACTTCAGTATGTATACTAAGGAAAGTTATCCCGTTGAACTCACTTTAAAATAAAGCTAATACTAACAATGACCACTGCCCTTTCCTCGATCTTGATATATATATCCTCAACGGGAAGCTTAATAAAAAAAATTACGATAAAAGAGATGATTTTTCATTTCCTATCGTTAAATATCCATTTTTAGATGGTGACGTTCCTTTGTCACCATCTTACGGTCTTTATATATCTCAACTTGTACGATTCGCTCGTGTTTGTAACAATGTATTAGATTTTAGCGAGAGAAATTTTGTATTACTGAAACATTATTACACCAGGGTTTTCGTTATCACAAACTAGTCAAAACATTTACTAAATTTTATCATCGGTACAAGGACATCATTAGTAAATATATCTCAACATGTAGACATCTTATACGTTCAGGTATTTCACATCCAATCTTTTATTGTAATATTCTTTACAAAGCACAAAAATGTCAGTATTCACCTCAAAAGCTAACAAAACCTTTAAACAGACTTATTAAGAAGGGATATAGTTACGATTATATTAACGATTGCATATTTTGGCTTTAATATTGATTCACTTATAGGGTCTTTGCATCGGAATTAAATATATTTATTCTTAAACCAGTTGTTGGCATGACACGGGTTATGTTCTTCTCATATATTTTATGATGGTATAATACAAACCCCTAACGGGAGAAATTGTGCTTGATTTTCATATAATGAAGACATAATCTTTCAATCAGTTTTATTAAGGTCTGGAGCTGGCATGTCAGTAACTGCTAGTAGTCCTATTAGTCCTTTGTTAATTTACGTATTATTGTCATTTTGTTTAGTTTCTTTTGTTACCTAATCTGACATCGGACACGGACTTCTCTTTAACTGAGTTTTACTATGCGTATTGTTATGCGTTTGTTTTTTCTACATTGGCTAGAGGTATAGGGGGAGGGTTGACATCTCAAAAAAAATATTTAACCCCGCCGCATTTTGCGCCTGTCCTAAGTCAGGAGCCTCTGGCCTTTGTTAGTCTTGTATGATTTTTAATTTTAGTTTCTTGTGTATAATTCGGAGTTTAGTATGACGTCCATTATCACTGAACTAGTAACATATTTGTTTAGGGGCCTGCTGAAGGACTCCCCCGGGTGCGGTAGTTTCTAGCTGCATTGAAGACCCATTGGTGGCCTTCGGCTGTTGTCTGCTCTATGGTCGGGTTGTTGTCTCTTTGACACATTCCCCATTTCCATTCTTAATTTTTCTAATAAGAAAATAAAACAGTTTTGATTTATATTTAATATTATGTTAAGCGAAGAAGAACTACATGTTATTCGTTAATTGTTTGTCTCATGTTATTTCCCATATATCTGCATACTACATATATTGATTTATTTGACAGTTAATCAGAAAGTTAAAAAAATTCACCACACACCTATTTACATATGTGTGACTACAGCAAAAACACTTTCGATAGGGACAATTTGATAGTTTCCAAATATCCAGAACCACTCAGCTGCTAAAACGAAAAAAAAAGCATTACATTACACATGACGGGGAAGTTCGCGAACTTTTATATTTAGATTATCAGAAATAAAAAATAATTTGATATGACATAAAGAGGATTCCGAAGCACATCCTTTAATACCAGTTTTTAAGAAACAAGGAGGTAAATCAAGATCGATTTATTAACCTAAATTTATTTAAACCTCATATTAAGTAAGCAAGTACATGAAATATAAATCTAAGATAATCGAATCAACCGCTTTCATTTAGTCGCTGCATTTGTTTGCACCTGTCCTAAGTCAAGAATCTGATGTTCAGTAGTTGTCGTTTGTTGATGTAGTTCATAAGTGTTTCTCGTTTCTCGTTTTTTATATAGATTAGACCGTTGGTTTTCCCGTTTGAATGGTTTTACACTAGTAATTTTTGGGGCCCTTTATAGCTTACTGTTCGGTGTGAGCCAAGGCTCCGTGTTGAAGACCGTACTTTGACCTATAATGGTTCACTTTTTTAAATTGTGACTTGGATGGAGAGTTGTCTCATTGCTACTCATACCACATCTTCTTATATCTATATAAGTGTTCATGGTATATAAAGTAGTGATTGATACGTGTGCCATAGACAATATCTTACAAGAACTGTACGACAAAACAACAACACGCGTACCGTGTAGGATGACAGCTAGTACATCATATGAGATTAAAAGAATTAAAATAGTGATGTACAGTACGTGCATTATGCATAAAAAATAAGAATATCAATAATCTAAACAAAAATATAAAATGAATGCTCATGCATATGTTTATTCATTGATTTATAAACATTTGTTTTAGTTATTTAAGTAAAATGTGTTCACAGCGATGATAACGCAGCGGAAAACGAAACCCACTTAATTATTTAAAAAAAAAAACTTTATATAGTAATAAAAAACTTAAACAAGTTGCGACAGATACCAGAGGGACAGTAAAACTCATAGATTGAAATAAACTGACAACGCCATGGCTAAAAATGAAAAAGAGAAGCAGACAAATAATAGTACACAAGACACAACATAGAAAACTGAAGACTAAGCAACACGAACCCCACCAAAAATCGGGGGTGATCTTAGGTGCTCCGGAAGGGTAAGCAGATCCTGCTCCACAAGTGGCAGCCGTCGTGTTACTTATGTTATTACAAATCCGGTAAATAGTCTAATTCGGTATGTCACATTCGTGAAAAGGGAAGGGAAGGAATTGTAATTACGACATAGGGAACATATCCGATATCATCTGTGAAACGGTTATCCCATAACGGTCTGCCAACTCGTGATGGGGTCTGTCAAATTTACGAAGGGATAATTTCAACTTCACCATTTGGAACTCTTGGTTTAATAGCTTCCTTGTGAGCAGCAACCCTCTATCAAGAAAATCGTGATGGGAAATACAAGGTGGGGTATATTGTTTCAATTTGGAGATATATACTCTGTATGCAGGCACTGCTGGAATGTTGCTACATAGAAATGGAAAGTTCACAATTTGGAAGCTGAAGTCATCTCTTTTGTGATAAAGTTTTGTTTACAACCTACCTTCATTGTCAATTTCTAAATGTAAATCAAGATATGAGGCAGACGTAACTGTATCTGTAGTATCCTTTACCTGGTCTAGTTCGATGGGATAGATTCGTTCAACAAAGTCACCAAATTTTGTATTATTTAGTAAGATATTATTATCCATATAGCGGAAGTTAAAGGATACTGCTAACTTCTAATCTTTCTTCCTAAGAAATTTCTGTATGAAGTCAGCCTCATAATAATAAAGAAACATGTCGGCACAATGGGTTCCCATTGGAATCCGACAGTTTGTTGAAAAATACGTCCTTCAAACGTAAATAGTTACCAAAGGTACCAGGATTATGATTTAATACGCCAGACGCGCGTTTCGTCTACATAAGAATCATCAGTGACGTTCAAATCAAAATATCTATAAAGCCAAACAAGTACAAAGTTGAAGAGCATTGAGGAAAAAAAATCTGTGCCAAATACGGCTAAGTTATATATGCCTGGGATACGAAAATCCTTAGTTTTTCGAAAAATCCAAAATTTTGTAAGCAAGAAATTTACTAAAATGACCATATAATTGATATTCATGTCAACACCGAAGTGCTGACTACTGGGCTGGTGATACCCTCGGGGACGAAACGTCCACCAGCAGTGGCATTGACTCTGTGGTGTAAATTGTTATCAAAGGTACCAGGATTATAATTTAATACGTAACAAATACTTTGTCAATCAGGGAATCAAGCATGTTGATAATGTCAGTTTCAGAGAATTTTTTGTTTGAATCAGATGTACAAAGTAGGATTTATCACTTCCCAAGACAAGATACTTATATCTACGTTCACCATTCTTTTTTATGAAACAAAGCAATACCAACTCTTTCAAATTGTCTTTTAGTTTGGAATGGGGAATACTTGTGTAAATTGTAAAAAAGTCAAATGTTTTAATACTATTGCAAGATGAGAGAGTCTTAGATTGTATGTACTCTAAAATATCTTTGGATTTTTTTAGTATCCACATCTGATTCACGCCACCTCTAGAATAGGCAGTTTCACAATAACTTTGAAGCCTTGCTTTTATAGCTGATAAAATAGATGTTAATAATTTAGTCTATGAACTATTATTTGAATAACTGATTCCTTCAACCACGAAGCAGAGGGGCTCAACCTACATAAAAGAACTTTGCAAAGTACGTCAGCTTACCAAAATAGTTATCTGTTTATCATTGTATTCTTTCACACATAACATCAGCTAACCTGTCATTTTTGTCTGTAAAAATTAAAACAAAAGCATTACTTTTCATGATCTAAGTATCGATTCCTAAGATAACGAATATTGTCCCGACCAAACTGTGAAAACATTAACAGTAAAATAAACATTTTCTGTAAAAAAAAGAACAGTTTGAAACTGACTAATGTAAAATCAATTCTTACTATGAAAGATAAATGTTTCAATCTCATGAAAGCTCAATGCCTTATCATTAAAAAATGTTTAATTTTATAACCTACGATATTTTTAAATATGTTATTGCACTTTTAAATCAAATTTGATATTATTAACCGGTTTGTATAGCCTTTCATGGTAACTAATGATATTATATCAAGTAGCAAAGGAAGTATGTTTTTGTTATATTTTGAATTGGTGTCTTAATGTTATTGTGGATCGGCAAATGATGAAAAAGTTCCTTAGTTAACAAGTTTAAATAACATAAATACCTCATGGAATGTTAATGTCTTAAAATGTCTATCAGTTATCTAACTTCTGAAAAATGTTTGTCGTAAATAACAAATGTGGTACAAAAGACTTTAAAACAGCCTTAGCTGTCGTTACCAGATTTGCATCGAATAACCCACTGCTAATACATAACTAAACCCCTTCTTAACATAATTTGTGAACAATATTCGAAAAAAACTGTTCTTCAACTTTATACATAGTAAGGACATTTTTAGATAGTCCTATATGGAAAGCACATTGCATCTTAAAATGATATAAAATAACTCTGAAAATCACCGTTTTTGACCTAGCAGTATTGGCACATGAAGTATAGGTTTATTTTAAAGGTACAACAGTAATACTGTCGTATAAAACTTCAATCGACCCGATTTACTTTTCGAAGTAAATTCGTAAGAAGGTAAATATTTGGCGAATTACCTGCTTTTATCCATATTTTATGTCCGAATATGTGTCACATATTTACCAACATTGTTGTAGTCCTACATCAAACGATCACAGTATATTATTTGCAAGAAACTTTCTCATAAAGGATGAAAACATTACAGGCAAGAAAATTCTATCTAAAAAAATAAATACCTATGATCTACCTTACAGATGCTGCCGTTAGAGCTTGCGACTCTGAAATGATTTATCGACTAGAGCCCGAATAATTTGCCCAAGAATGCAGTTTATCACGAAGCTTGTCTGACCACATACTTGGTATATAGACCACAATCCGCTGACAAATTTGCGTATGATATGGCCTTTGAAAGTAGTTAACATTATAGACAAAGACCTTATACGTGACAAAAAGTCTCTTGTAATGTCATCGATTTTGACAATGAACCAGTCTTTTTTGCCAGATACAATTAGTAAAATCTACTGTGATTCCTCTAAAGTTTAGGCTAATCTTGGGAAGCACTACAAGAATACCAATGTATACTTTGTTCAACAAGGAAGGCAAACCCAGCATTGTATTTGCTAGCAAAATTTTTATTGGAATTTTATGCATGCTTGTCTTTTCATTTAATATGTGATTATGTTATTTGTCTTTATGCCCAATTGTTTTTCTTTGTTGACATAATTGTTTTTTTTAAATTGATTTATAATATATACCAGTAGCAACATTTCAGTCTATAACGGTCATTTTGGTCTGATCCGGTTTTAATCGAATGAATTTACCGCTAAGGAAAACGTTAAGACCTGTTCATACTTTCAGACGCTGTTCCGATATATTGTGTTTAGTCAGATCAGTCGTGTCAAATTATATATATATATACAATCAAAGGGGAAGCATACGCTCTTTTGGCCCATGAATCTGACACTGACATAATTAAACAATTAACAAATTTGTAAAGAAATAATATAAAGAGTGTTTTGTATTCCTTAAACTGGGAATATTCTATGATATTTTGTGGACAATATAAATCGTAAATCGTTGTTCCAAAGTCATACCAGATAGATAAAATAATTGTAGTTTCTGACAAAAAGAACATATTTTAGAATTACCAAATAATTGCAATCGGATTTGGATTAGTTTTTTGCTCAAAGGAATATATTTATAGAAAAACAAAGAATATGAAGTATCCTCCAATGACCGATATCAGTTAATGCACAACAACAAAAAAGCACACACACAAACATCTGAGGAATAACGCTTTTATTGCTCTACCTCATCTCAAAGTGACAATGAGGCCTTAAACACGAAGCAATCAAACTCTCACCTCACTGCAAGTTTAAGACGGCCCCTATGACCGGCTTGAGAGGAATTCTGTGGAAATATAATTTGAATACACTTTATAAGATGTAACACCACCTAATTAGGACCAGTCAATAAATAACATTCTTGAAAGTAATAAACATTAAAAGCTAAATAGTTAATACGCATAAGGATACATCTTAAACTTTGTAGCATATATTTGAGTAAGTAAGGTATCAGATGAAAGGTGCTGTAAGATTTTTTAAAATATATATTCCTTCATAGTCATTATTTTGAGATCGAATTTAATTAGTTTCATATTTTTAAAATATGTTCCAAAACAAGAAAAAAATCAAACAGATTCGTTTGGATGTGACATGTCTTTTAAAATAATAACAGTTAAAATATTGTGGGAGGAGGGTTGAAGTTAAAGACTGAAAAGTGAAACCTTGTTCTGTTATCTATGTACCATAAGTTTTGGTACATATCTCGACGATTACTCGTTATCAATATATATTCATGTCTTTGGGGAAGACAATTAATTAACACTAATGTTTGTTTTTTTCGTAAGAGACATGGTTGCAAAATTCGTTTTACGTTCAATTCAAATTTTTGAAGATCTTCTTTCTTCATTTATGCTTTAAAATTAAAAACCTACAAACATTATGAAAATTTTTATTCTCAAACTAGACAGAATGAAAGATCAATACATGTTTGCAAGTGTACAAAGGGTGTTTTAAAAAACCAGAAAATTTCTTCGTCCGAGGATATGAATTCGATGTTAAATGTCCTTTAGTAACTTTGCAATACCCAGCCATGTCTTTTCCGTATATTGTGTGGCGTGATGGGCAAATTAAGAAGCCATTACTTTTATAATGAACAACTGCTCAGTTCAATTCTATTTTATATTCCAGCAATATATTTTCCGCGAATATGGCATTCATGTCCAATTGTCATCATGTCGGCCCGGATTTTATGCGTAGAAGTTCACTTAATAACGATGTTTTCAAATGTTATAATATGTAAACCTGCAATTAATTACCTTCTTAGATAGTATTTATATATCTTTTTGATGAAGGAATCGGTAGTTTGTCCTTAAATGTCCTGGTTATCTGTTTACATGTTAACCAGAAATAGGGACCATGTAACTGTATTTATTTTTAGCACAAGATGCTAAAAAAAGTATGACATTTTTTTTGTTTAAATCTGACGTTCACCTAGGCAGTTCATTACATTACAGTCGCAATATATTATTGTATTTAGTTATATTTTGCTCATATATTGTATTAACAATAATGTTACACACCATTTAAACTTAAATATTCGTAGGATTAAAATAAAACATTTATTTACTGGAAACATTATATTTTCCTTGCATATTAAATTTTTAATTTAAAGTTTTCTTGATTTGCACAGTCACAATACTTGTCATCTTCTTCAATGGTACATCTTCATAGTAACTGTTTCCTGTTATTCCAATTGGTTAAGTTTGTGTTAAAGGTGGTTTTGATGACCCTGTTTTGCCTTTTCCTAGCGTTCTATGAAATGTCCAAATCTTTGGCATTCAACATTGTGTTTCAAGTTGATCTCTTCTTTTTTTTTTTGTGTTTCTATTCTATGTTACTTTTCTCTTCCTGATGTTGCATATACAATTGTTGGATAGTTGATTGAAAAAGAGGGACGAAAGATACCAGAGGGACAGTCAAACTCATAAATCGAAAAAAACTGACAACGCCATGGCTAAAAATGAAAAAGACAAACAGACAAACAATAGTACACATGACACAACATAGAAAACTAAAGAATAAGCAACACGAACCCCACCAAAAACTAGGGGTGATCTCAGGTGCTCCGGAAGGGTAAGCAGATCCTGCTCCACATGTGGAACCCGTCCTGTTGCTCATGTTATTACAAATCCGGCAAATAGTCAAATTCGGAAGGGAACTTTCTCCTGTTCGTCTAGAAAGACCTCACCCAGTTCTACCTAATAGTTATCAAAGGTACCAGGCTTATAATTTAGTATCTAAACAATTTCTTCGTCATAGTCTGGCACAAAATCCTCCTCTTTAGTGAAGTTAATTGTGGTTTTGTGTACATCAGTTTAGATCGGCATGACTGTGTCTTTTCTTTTTGTTAGTCTGTTGAGTTACTTTCACAACATAATATGTCCAAGGTAAGTGTTTCACTCTTCATCAGGTCGCATTTTGATGGTTTAAAAACTGTGCGCCGCTCCTTGCCGACCTTTTTTTATTTTCATATGAATCGGAGTTCCTTCAGACACTTGTCAAAACAAGAAGATCAAAGAAGCCAAATTATTCATTTTACTTTCAGATATATTGATGATGTTCTTTCCATGAACAATCCGCATTTTTCTGATTGGGTTCCATTTATATATACCCCCCCCCCCCCCCCCCCCCCCCCCCCCAGAACTAGAAATTAAAGAAACAACAAACACAGCTTCCTCCACCTTATTTTTAGAATTTTTTGACATACACAGTCATCTCAGTATTATTATCTATGACAAACGAGACGATTTTAATTTTAAAATTATGAATTTCCCCCACCTTAGTAGCAATATACCAACTTCACCTTCATATGGGATATGCATTTCCCAACTTATTTGATATTCAAGAGCTTGCAGCTACTACTCAAGACTTTATAAAACGTCACCAGTGTCTGAGTAGAAAGATGATGAAGCAGAGGTGTGTCAAAGAACGTCTCGTCCTTTTTCTAAAAAAGTTCATCGGAAGGTACCAAGACCTTGTTGATAAATGTTTCGTATCAACCTTACAAATTATTCATGATGGTCTTGGTGTATAGATTCTGCGTTCTGACGTTGTTTATCATTTTAAAAATC